CGGAATGAGCTTATGCCCGAGCACAAAGCACAAATACGTTATCGAGGCCCATTCGACATTATGCATTTTGCTCATACTCACATCCTCTGAGATTCTTGTCGGTTACTTTTTCCCCGCATGACCTATTCGTTCCGAATGTACCTTTCTCAAATCTCTCACTAATGCAATGGAATTCTATAACCTAGGTCTCTCCCAGAAGGCTTGGAAAACTATGGTCCTTCGAGTTTTCTCCAGAAATTCTGGAAAATCACATGAAATCAAAGTCCTGATGGCTTTGATCAATGGATACTTGGTAAGGACATCACGGCTGTTGATTATTGTCCCACAACTAGCCGGGTTAGGATCGATGGATCGATGAGTCCGAAACGGGACTGTTGTCCAGGCATTTCATTCCTTGTTTCTGCTAGACCGCTTGGTATACAGCCTCCAACCCCTTCCCATCTAATCCCATTCTCATTTCCCATTCATGTCTGGTGAATGGTTCAGTCAGTCTCCTCTTTGAACGCATGTCCCTTAGCATAACAAATAGGCTACGAAACCTGCGTTCAAACACCCGCGTGACATATGTCCATTCTGGTCGTTGTCTTGCAGCGAATTCCATTCATTCGGCTTATTTCGTCCCGCTTGAAATAGGACTCTCCCGAGCCTCCCAAGTTCCGAGCCATTCTCTCATCAGTTTCGGGTGAGGGCGATTTCGCCCAACGAGGAAGCACCGCGTATCATCACTAATCCTTTGCCATTTGACAAAATTGACTTAATGCCCTCCCAGATTAAATCTTCGGTGGAAGGACGTCTCACAAATGTAATATTATCGGATTAAGAACAATTTAATTTGATCCTCCCTTGGTGATGTCCTTTGCAGCGGTGGCAGGCGAATTCTACTGCTTCCTTTCAATTTCTCCCACAGATCAGCGGTGTTTTGGCTGGACCACTTCCGTTTGGATCAAATGCAGCCAGTCTTCCTTTAATAGTCCGTCTACTGATGTCTAACTCGCGGCAGGTGCAGTAATCACAGGTGATTGACAGGAGTGATGGGGGAATCGGCCGGTCGATATAATTACTTGTCCCAGTGGGTAGATGGCAAACAAGGTCTACCGCCTCTTGGAAGATTAGCCAAAGTCCTCCCTTTCACAGTAATGTTTGAGGACGTCGGTGACGCTGTGAGCTATGAAAGTGCTAGTGGCCGCATCCTTTTAATACCTTCTTTAATGTCCACGACAAACTTACGCGTAGCCTCTTAATCTTAGCCTTTCCGTAAACGTTGGGGAGGTCGGAAACGTAGATGTATTGTTCGAAACGAAGCGCACCAGAACTATGTGGACCACCTCAATGGCGGGCCCCAAACCGTTCTTGTCGCAAAAAATACCCGTCGAGGTTGAATTAGCCGCGCCTTATGCTCGAAAATATGGGTTTCGCATGGTTACTGTAGAACATATCATTGTGAATGTTGAAGCAAATCGATCATCTATGGGAAAGTAATGCAGGAATTCATTGTAGCACCATTGCCGACTGGTGAAGGTCGTGGACCTTGGTGCCACCGGACTACTATAGGTTAGAAGGGTCTCCTCGGTGTGTCTGATTGTCAACTACAATTTTTAGTTATTCGTAAATTTTCGGCAGGTACTAAGCTCTCCTTGATTACGATGACTGTTGTCGTTCTCCCTGTACAGGTTGAGGGGCGTGAAGTGGCACGCACGAATAAATAAATAAATAAATAAATTCCGGCGAAATTTTTTATCTCGGCAGTATATCGGAAAGCGCTTAGTTGGTGATAGGATTTGGGATTGAAGTGGAGTTCGTGGGGACGTCATCAATTTATAAAAGTGGAAGATAAAGTCTTTTGGCGTTGATCACTCCCGTTTCGTGATGGACCCCGCGTACGACATCGATACAGAATCGTGGTGACGTACTGTATGCGTAGTGGCCTATACAATGAATTGAGAGTCAGTCATAGTCGGCAGTAAAGGTTATTGCTTTTGTATCCCAGACCTAGTCTGGTACCAGTTAGCTGACGGAAGGTTGGAAGGTTTACTTGGCTTGGTTATTGTGGGTATCGATCCGGGGGTTCGATTAGTGGACTATGTGTGTGATAGTGCGCCACAAGGTACTACACTGCTTCCGTCCTATCAATCTACCAACCGTCCTCAGCCTCCACTAGTTCACTAACGAATTCATCTTCCTTTACTTCTTTATTTCTTCAAATCATGCCACATACATCAAAAATATACAATAAAACATTTCTAAAATGACACAAAATCTTTTTCACAAAATTTTTACAACACAATTTTCTTATTTTTACAAAAACATCCTAAAATCACAAATTATACAACGACAAAGCAGAAATGACAATTATAAATTGAATTTTCAAAATTAACACATCAAAAACTTCAAGCCGAAGGTTTTTCTCTCTGCTCAATTCCTCGAGCTTTCTTTCGTGGCGGTGACACTGGCGATTCGCTGAAATCCAAAATTCTCGTGAATACCGATGTGTTAGGTCTGAAAAGCTGGATTCAGTTGAAAAAAANAAAAAAAGTATAAACTGTTTCCGCTATAATTTTTCATGTCTCTCATCATTTACCTATGGCTGATAGAAAGAAATTAGTGAAAAAAATTAAAAATCTGAAGTAAAAAGCGCTTAGCAGGTAGACTTCCAGTACGCACCCAACAGTAGTTGATTCAACTTTTGGTGATGGTAGCTCGTCTTCTTCCAATTCATCAAACACAAGCCGCTTCCTGAACACTAAAGTAATCCAGTTCCTATCATTTCGGTACGAAACTGACAATTTTTATCGGAAGGGTACTACACTCAGAGCAAGTCATTTTCTGAACCCATAGAATCACGGAAATGGCTTTGTAGAACCTCTTCCCTTGAAAGTTTTCTTCAGTGAACGACCCCCAACCGTGTTTTACCCTTGGAAAGACATCGATCGCAAAGGGAGCATAGGTCTTGAATTTTCTCCAAAGTCGCCAGATAAGTTCAGGTCAGCCTCTTTAGTGGATATCGCACCTCTCTTCTCTGAGGAACAGCTCTTCTTCCCTCTTTTGCAATTTGCTTGACCCAGACATGACTTTCCGCACCCTACTCTCACTATCTTGAAATTCTAAAAAAAGGGGGAGGAGGGAGAGAGAGTAGGTGGAAGAGGAGGGGGAGGGTACTGTAGTGGCAAATGACACCCGCATGGTTCAGGAATCGAATTTCGTATCATTACCTACCGAAACCCCTTGAGCCTACCATCCCTCTAGGGCCACTTAATTGGTACTAGACCCGTGTGGGAGGATCAAGTATTGGATTGTACATCGGCTGGTAACTGCAGGTTTTGTTTAAGCCACATGCTCATTCAAAACGCCACTACGATTCTGATCGGGAGTCAAATGCGAGGCGCATCTTAAAAAGCGATCAATTCACATAGAAATATTCACCCCTCATCGCTGAGCGGGCTTTGCGAGTGGTTTGGATGGGATATTTCTGTATTTCTGACTTGTCCAATATTTTACTTTCAAATTGAAATGCAATGAGTATTCCAATGAGTATTTAAAATGCGTAGGATCAAAAAGAATTTTAGAAATGCATAGGATCGGTGACAAAAAGACCAGAAGGTGCTACGAATGCCTATCTGTTTCCTTAGAAGGCAAAAAATAAGCTCTTGCACAGCTTCTAGCCGAGAAGTGTTGGACATTTGACTTACAATAGGGATCGTAGCGTTCATTTGGGTGCCCACTTGACCGGGTCCGGGAACTTCTCCCCTAACACGGCGTCGCACACGCCGCACCCGCCGCCTATCGCAGGATTGCGATGAAAGATTGGAGCGCGCAATTTGTGAGGTAGGGAGTCCTTTAATCATTTGAATTGGCTGGTCGCTCCCTTCAATTTCAATGCGGTATTGATCGTCGTTTATATAAGAGGAGTCATTTTAATTAATCAAGTCTAATAAACATGAAAACTAAAAAGAAACAGAAGAAAAAACGATAAAATCCAATGAAAAAGTAAGCCAGTCAAGGAAAAATATCGCGTCCTNTCGATTTTCGGGAGGCAGGGTGAGTACGGTAATTGCAGTGACATTTGCCGCATGCCGCAAGGGAGAATGCCGCGATAGGGGAGAAGTTCCGTTACCCCACTTGACCCACTCATATGATGCCCAGTCGTTGTCCAAATTACTGCCTACTCTCTTATGGGTTGTGGTTGCGATTAGCTGTTAAAGGTGGGGAAGAACTTCTGGCTGGCCTCAAAGGAATGAAGCAGGAGTACCAGATTCGAGAACCTTCTCCTACCGCTTACTGTCGGAGTTCGTTAGGGTTCATTCTAAGACTGGATGTTCGGCAGGCTAAAGTTAGCAACATATGGCGTTCTTACTGTCTAGAAGAAGCGGTGACCCAATTAGATTATGCTCAGGCTAAGCAAACACCCAAGTATTTGGTGTCCCTTTCTCTTCCGGGAAGGTAGAGCATTGGTTAGCCTCAGCAACTCATTGTCAGTGACGAATTCTTATTCTTTCTTATTCTTATTCTTGTTCTTACTCTACTCATTTTTATGAATCACGTAATCAGCTCACTGCAATCATTAGCCCCATCGTTAAATTTCAAGGACTTTTCAACTTAAGCCCTTGGATACTTGAGCTTGGGTAAATCTCAAAAAGCATACCTCACTGGTTGCATACCGAAAGCGGTACAGTCGTATTTCCTCTTCATACGTAGTGATGGTGGATGAATGACGTCTTTAAATAAGTAGGAATCACTTGGGAATTACTGACGCCATTGAGTTTTCGAATGAGAAACAAATCGCTCACCTTCACTTTCGAAGTCCCAGTCCTTATCGAGGAAGTAATCCTTGTCGAGTGGGGTAGTTATCTGTAAAGAAATCAAGTCCTCGGGAAATTTATCAAAACTGCCTCAACGGTAGGCGTAATGAGCATTTGAGCGGAGTGTACTGAAGTTCTGTTCGCACCTTGTTCTCTGATGAAGAGTTACCCACCAATGGGCAGTATGAAATGGTTTTATTACCTCTACCTAAATGCTCCCTTCGAATCCCACAGTCCCGCTCTCATAACATTGAAGAGTTGCGGGAAGGCAGTATGCTCGCTCACCTTTTCCAGCTTCTTGAACACTGCTCGCTGCCTTTCTGGCAATCCTATCCTCCCCAAAATTTCTGTAGCAGTTGGGCGTTCTTCAGGGCTTTGGTTCAGTAGGGACATGATTTCGTCGTGGAGATCAACTGCTACACCTGAATTTAGTGATTATTCACGACATTTTGAAATAACTCTCAGTTATGGGTATACATAAATAAGTAAAAGGTAATAGGAAGACCAAAAAGTTACCTTTAAATTGAGATCGTAGGATTTTTCCGGTTTGAATCACTTTCTTTTTGCTTTCCACATCGATATCCGTTGATAACTGTGAGATAAAATCATAATTAATTTTGTGTAAATAAAAAATATGTGAAAATTTTTTAAAGATCGCAAAAACTCTTGTTTTGCATTGAAAGCCACGAAATTGACGCAAAGGGAGCCGCACGAAGCGGCTGACGTCGTGTGCAACGCCTAACACGCGACGCGACCGTACGCAGCCACTATCGGTTAACTCTTGTGTCATTTCTGTTTCTTACAATATTCTTACAATTCGCTCACCTCTAACATCGTGATTCCCAGGCTGAACATATCGGCAGCGGTTGTCGGTGATTCGTTCAGAAGTTCAGGGGCCATGTAATTCTTGTCTCCGTCATCAGCCCAGTCAGCTGCTACCTAAGATATTCCATAATCCTCCCACATTCTCCCGAACTCCTTTTATAGACGTCACACCTTCTTCAAATTGATTGCCAAACCAAAATCTCCCAATTTACATGAACGTTTATCCAGAGAAAGGTAGATATTTGACGGTTTCACATCCAAATGTAGCATGTCTTCTGAGTGGAGTCGTTCCAATGCCTGCAAGTTGCCAATTTTAAAGAATCTCACGGTACAATGAATGGGAAACCTTCATAGGAACCTTGAGTGTGTCTTCGAACACAGTCCATTGTTCACTCTCGACAAGGGGTCCGTAGTGAGCTCGATAGTCGTGCAAATTCGCGCCGCACAATTCAGTTTGAATGTAAAACCGCCCTCTGAAATGGCACTTTACATTAATTACCACATTTCTACAATTTCTATTTCGTTAGTTCATAGCATTTTATTTATTTGTTTACAAATTGTTTCTTGTTTACATGTTTTGTACAAGTTTGTGTTTTTACATTTGCATGTATTTATTCTCACTGATATTCCAGTTGTTGTTCTTTTTTCTGATATCTTTTGAAATATATTCCGAGTCACTCAGAGCAATATTACCAGCCTTGGAAAGGTAGTGGCTAGGGACATCCTGCTATACTTGCTATTATTGTATATTTCCTGCTCCAAGTTGAGAACGGGGGTTCTAAACCCGGCCCTCCACAGGATTATCCACCCAAACCTTCAAGGGGAACCGTACGTTCTTGGTCGCCAAGCAAGAGTAAAAGAAGCATGCAAACAATTACAGTAAGCCAAAGCTGTAATACAACTCCAAAAATAGTAATGTTGACATGGCAGGAAGGGTAACACTACAATTAGGTCGTCGTATCAGCAAGCCAAAGCCCCTACACCCTTATTTACTTCGCTCATTCTACCACGACAACGACCATCTAGGACTGTGAAAATTGCATCATTTCAACCTAATTTTCCTAACCACGGTGACCTACTTTTTCGTGTTTACAATGGTGTTTTTGTTTACCAAAAACCAGTTTGTACCTCTCCACGTTCGATTTCAGCATCCTCCTCTTTGTGCGATCGTGGAATGTGCCTCTGAGGCCAACACAAGATCCGTAGGACTTGAAATATTTAGGCTACTCGGCTATATCCATTGTGAGTTTTTTTTTATTCTCTAATGCATGTAATGAGCCGTGTTCAGTGTTGGTTAGCCTCTTTGGAGTGTGCCACGCTTTCGATTTTTCAGCGAAATCCTAGCAGCTTCGGCATGGGCTTCTATAGTAAACTCTTGCACTAGTATACGGGTAATGGGAGGTTTATCGTTCAGACTCATCCCATTACTAACCCCTGCAGTTCCATCTGCAACTAACTCCTACAGTAATAAAATGTCCTTGAATTCCTACTCGGGATCGATCCCTTAGGTACTGCAGCTGGCCAACGATGCCTCAACCTGAACCATTCTCTATTCCTAATAACCTTCTTCCCTTCGAAGCTTTTATCAAAACTAAATTCTGTAGTAGGCCCAACGTTTTCAAATGTTCGACCTTTACTATTTATTTATGCCCAATATCGAATGCTGACTGCTCCATATGTCCTTCGTTGCACGGGATCGTTACGTAATTAGATATTCCGGCCCGCTAAGCCGACAATGAAGGCCATCAAGTAATTAAAACCCATGAGCACCATCTAGGTTGGTTTCTCGTTTAATATGATTCTCTTCCTGGTCGTACTAAGATAATTACAACATCGTTCGTTTCCTCTCCAGTTCGATTCTCCCAAGAGCATATTCCATTCGGCTTGAGCCCCATTAAATAGAGCAACCCTGTTGAATTTCCAATTACTCAGTACCTTGAAGGTGTATTTGTGCGTTAGCTTTCATAAAAGTCGTAGTCTGCAAAACTTTTGGCGTTGATCGATTCTGTTTCTGGAATGCGCCCCGCACTCGACTTCCATTCAGGATCGTAGTGACGTTTTGAATACATATGGATATGGTCTGCACAATGACTTGCGGTAGCCAGCCGATGTACAACTTTGTGCTTTCGTCCTCCTACACAAGTATGGCATAAATTACCGATTCCGAAAGATGGAAGGCTAGTGGCTTAGGCATTGTCTATCCGGGATTCAAACCCATGACTACGCGTGTGATGGTGCGCCACTCGACACTACGCTGCCTCCATGCTCCTTCCCAAAACTTCACTGATATCTGTCAATGCTTCCTGCCGCTGTCACTGGGCGGCATAATAGTAAAAGGCCAGAATATCAAAGCTAAATCGAATTTGGCCCATTGCAGCATGCACTTTTAATCCCCATGAATTGATGAATTCACGCCTATGCTTGACTAAGAGCCTAAAAGTGCTGGCTTAGGCGTCAGCTGGCTCATCAAACGCCGAAGACTCAGCCTAATGCTTCCTATATCGAAATGGGTGAATCAACAGCACTGCTTCCATCTGCCTTTCCGGTTTTTCCGAATCCTTTTTTCTTGAAAAGAAAATGCGTCATCTGGTCCACGTGAATGCCACTAATGAGACATTGTAGCGATAATGGCCTTTGTCACCCTATGGCCCTACAGACTCTGTCAGCAAATCGAGTGCCAGAACGAATTCTGGCAATTTATTCGTCTTAAGGAGATAAAATTCGATTTCGATTGATTCTTGACGTTAAGCTCCTATTCATCAGTGCTGCCTCGAAAGAATATTCCATTTAGTATTCGCTAGGCATAATGGCATTAATGGCGTACTAGGGGTGTATGGGGTAGGTGGGACCACGATCACGTCAGACCCTCATTAGACCCGCCATATGTCCCTGTTTGCCCATTCGGGGCTCATTTCTTCTCACGCTACTTTTTTCTCAGACAGACAGCCTGGTCTTTTTCTCGTTGACTTGTCTCTATTAATATTAATTTTTGCCCTAATTCGGGTGGCAGCTGTGATTGACACCAATGATTTATTAGGTTGACGTTTTGAGGCCGAAAAAACAGGCTGCCCTGGAGCTTACGATACTTAAGCGGATTTCCTTCTACATCGAGGCGACGGCAGGGCTTCCCAGGTCGTCGTTCCTTAGGGACAATCTTCCTAGTTCAACATTGTGGTCATGTTTTGAGGCTAGAAAGCAGGATTTAATGTGGCTCACCCAATCAGATGACATTACTTCGGGTTTGAAGCGACGGGTAGACTTCCCAGGTCGACACCTATTGCAAGCAGCCCTCCCAATTCAACAATGTGATCAACCTAGTTTTCGACATTGTTCAACCATTTGTATAGGCCAAGATACGGCCTAGAGGAGCTGTTTCTGATACCTCGGGCTAAGCAGGCTTTGAAGAATGCCATAATGTCCGAACGTGGCCCCAATGAATTAGTTCAAGCTCAGTTGCCAACAGAATCAGTGCTGAAATCGGTTCTTCAAAGGATAGGCTGAGCTCCACAAAGGGTCGAAACATATGTTCCATGAGGAAGTGGGGTAGGGTCAAGAGTTCCCCAGCTGAACTCATAGTCTTTGGATCTTTTCTTATGTTTAAATCCATCTAGGCTATCCAATCTTTGCACGCCGGTCTTGCAAATGGCCCCCATTCACATCTGGGGAGCTTAAAGAAGCGGCTTGATATTAGCTGGTCTCACATGTCGTTATAGAGGCTAATTATCTTTAACTGTCTTTACGACTATTCGTAAAAGCCAAATGTGGGCGGCACCTTTAAAGAGGGTGATGCAGTAATGAGGTTTATTCATTTTTATATTCTCTCAAAGGTCCGGTCGGTATCGTTCTATTTCAAGGCGCCTTCGGGTAGCAAGCTAGTACGATATTCGGGACCTCTTATTTTATTTCGAAAGCCTTTGTTAGTAACATATGGATGAGTGGGCATACCCTTTCTCGGGAGCGTTCCCGGGTAGCTCATGCTTTTCTGATACTTTTACCTTGTCCAATGGAACATTTTTTGCACCGAAATATCTCCGATGAGAAGGAATCGGTGTCACTAGCAATGGACTATAGGAGGCTACTGTATAGGCCTTCTCAATCCTCTCAGTTATTTTCACCGAAAGTCCATTGCATGGCGCACTCTCACCGTCATCGTTTTCTCTTGTCAAAATTCTACGATTCCAGAATAGAATAGGGATTACATTTTGTAAAGTATATTATGTTTTATATCATATCATACATTATATAGCGGAGGAGGTGTAGTAGCAAGTGGCGCATTACCACACATGCATGGTCAAGGGTTCAAATCCCGGATCGGTGTTTGCCTTGGACAACCAAACTTTCCATCCCTCTGGGGTCGGTTGATTGGTACTATCGTCTCGGAGGATAAAAACAGTGGCTTGTACATTGGCTAGCGACCGCAAGTCATTGTATAGGCTGCGCACTCAATAGATACGACACTATAAATCTAATTGGAAGTCCAATACGGGGCGCACCCCTCAAACAGAATTGACTAACGCCCAAAGTCTTCATCCTTCATTCTTCTATCATATAAAGTGTTTCAAAAAAGTCAAAAACTTGCCTTTCTTCCCATGCTCTCTCGAACTGAACAATGTTGGGATGCGGAGAGACTGTCTCGTGATTTAGAGCTTCTTGTAGTTGACGATATCTCTTGCCGGACGATTCAAATGTACGTAGAGCTCTTTTCACAGCGTATTCTTCACCAGTATCTTTACTTCTCACATGTAGAACCTTTAATGAACACTTGTTATCTCTATTTATCATGGATGATTATTGAAAACAAAGGAGGAAAGGGTAGCTGCACCTGCCCAAACGAGCCATTTCCCAGGATTCCGATCACATCAAAGCACTGTTCAAAGTAGGTTTTCGATTTCGATAAGCGATATAAAGGGCTTAGTTCTGAAATGAGGGCACATATTAGGGTTAGGTCTCGAAAAAGGCCCAAAAGGCTAAGGCCACATGGGTATTAAAATTCGATAAAAAGCTGTGAATACTTTTTCGAAATGGTGTCTTCTTTGATGAAATCTGATGAGGTATCATTACGGGAAATCCTGGTGGGTAAACTCGTCCGCACGTTCGTGACCCTCCGGCGATTCGCGACGAATGTGGTTGCTGAATTTCAAGAAAATATCCAGTTATAAAGATCTAAAACGTCCTTTTGTTAACTTACATTTTTAAGGTGGGTGAAGGGTGTAATTGCAGCCATTTCATTGAAATCATAGAAATCCTTGTAATAAATTGGCTCTATAGAAATAAAGTTTTAGAGGAGCAGCTGTAAACGACAAGGTGGAGAAAGACATAAAAAAATAGAAGTAAGGCCAAAGATTCTCCCAAAGAATGGCAGAAGTAGAGTACAGCCAGAAATCAATTGAGTACTGGCGCTGAATGGGTCAGTACCAGTTGCCCCTAACCATTACTTACGGGCCTGGCTAACACCTCAGTAATGACGTTCCCTTGACCTTCAGAGATAACTAGAGTATCCATATTACTGGGCTAGCGTGTTGTGGGTGTTCCCGTGGGAGCTTTGGAGGTACCTAAATGTTGCTTTCAAGCAAATTTTTATTTTTTACAAGTATAAATTGTATTTCACCACGACTGACAAGGGCGGAGATGGTGCAGTTGCAAGTGGTCCTCTCACACTCAAGGCTCGAGGATCGAATCCACCTATATCCGCCCAGACCATTTGGATCCCCTTTCACTCCGGGGTCGCTTAATTGATACCCAGACTCATTTGGGATGATGAAAGTGCTGACATATACACTGGATGGCCAAGGCAATTCATTGTATAGGTTATATCCGCAGTCAAAATGCTACACCAATTCCGAATGTGATCGAATGCGAGGCGCATTCAAAAAACTGAGTTGATCAACGACGAAAGACTTTATTAATTTGTCTCAACATTGACCTTTGGTCATCCGGAGGAAATAATTTGCGTAGAAAAACTGTTTAGGGGAATGTTCCGAGCTCACCAGCCAATCCTGTCCCCAATAATCTCATCAAATAGCCTCAGGGTTCTTTTTTTGCCTAGATGTGCGCATTTTCATCAAAACAATATGTAAAACATTAAGATTACAGCAGAATCAGTGTTGAAATATGTACCTAAAGGGAAATGTCGAGGTTTACAAAGGGTCGGACCATAATATCTATCAGTGGAAGGATAGAGTAAAGGGTTTTACTGTTGAACTCATGATAACAGAATCACTGGAATTTCGACGTTACGGTCTTCTTCAGACATGAAGAAGATGATGGAAACCGAATAAAATTCGACCAATGGAGACCTAGAAGGTTGGCGCATTCTCCATACCGTAATTTTGATTCGCAAAAAAAATCTCCAAAAAGGTTTTAGAAGAATAGGAGACCTTGCTCACTACTGAAGCCATCGACCGTTAGTTTCTGACGCCTAGAAACTTTGAAGTTTACCAAGCTTTGTCAGTTATTACTGTAGAATTCGTGGGGCTTCATCGGCTGACATTGCCTCAGGGAGTACGGTGGGAATATCGATCGACTCCCAATACGCAATGATTCCTAGCTAGTTGTCTCGCCAAGCGCCATGCCTTAATCGGTCCTCCGAAAGCGGTACGTCTCTAATGGACTCTCAGCCATCATACGTGGCCTGGGGCGGATATCGAGCCGGGATTTGATCGCTGAACCATGCTTGTATGATAGTGCGCCATTTGCCACTGCCTATTTCGCCACATTTGTTATGCTTGAGTCAGTGCTTTTATCCTCTGGACGAGTGTGGTTCCAATTAGACGACCCCGGAGAGATGGGAAATTATTCCACAGCAAATTGACCTATGAATAGGGCGTAATTGGTTATTTCAAACTTGCTGATGGGGCAAGTCAGGACGGAATGCAACTTGATGGCCATAGAATGAGTATGAATATTCGTCCTCCCATACGAATGTAGATAATTAGAAAAGCTGATCGCTCTTCTGAATGGGAAGGAAAACCAAATCGGGAGTTTGTTCCACGACCTCATTGGAAATAGTTGATATCTAGCACACCCCCTGCTCTACCACTTCACTTATCTTATAGCTTATCTGATAGTTCATTCTTTTGGCAGCTGAAAGGAATCTTTTACGATGGGCATTTTATTGGATGAAATCGTCAAGCGTTTATCGATCCCGTCTCTGGATGCGCTCCGCGTTCGACTTCCATTTAAAATCGTAGTGATGGATTGAATGGGTGTTTGGCTTACGCAAAGACTCCTGGTGGCCAGCCGATGTACAAGTAAGGGCCTTCATCCTCCCAGACGAGTCTTTTACGGATTCACCTACTCCTAAGGGGTGAAAGGTTTGGTTGGTCTGAAGGGATATCGATCCGGAATTCGAAGCACGGACCATGTGCATGTGATAGTGCGCCACTTGCCACTACACCACCTCTGTCCTAGTTTGTTGATACAACTTTCAGAAGCTTGTAGGTCTACCAAAATAAAATCTGGAAGTGAAGTAAGCTTTGAAGTAGCATTAAAATAATTAGTAATCAATTGAAAAATCGATATAAATCACTCTGTCGCTCATTGAAAAATGGTTTCATGACCTTTGCCAGTTCAAGTGAATCTCAATTGAAGTTCATCGTGATGGGGGTATATTGAGAGGAGCCTACTCTTTTAGATTCCTCTTGAAAGCATGTGGGTAGTTGGCAGTCTAATTAGTATTGCTCATTGTTCATTGTGTATTGTTACTTGTTTATTGTTTACGACACCTTTTCCTGCGCTGGCTCAGTGAATCCTTTAATCTTAGCTATAATTCCTTTCTCAGTAATGCTATAGTTTAAGAGGTCTGCATGGCTAATAGGGAAAGGCTGGAAATCGATGGGACGACATTATGAATGTGTGGGAAGTAAATTACTAGTTTGCTAACGCTAATTGTAAAATGTCGTGGCCTGGGAATCTACAGCTTTCATCTCTGCCTACTTTTTTTTGATTTTATTTTCCTTTGCATTCAGAGGTCGCTTTTCTTATGGCATTCGATATTTATCTTTGATTTGACGATCCCGCAGAGATGAAAGACTTAGTTTTCTTCCATTTTTCAAATAAAAAAAATGGAAAGAAGGATGATTGATGGAGCGATTTCATGGAGAAGCGCCGCTGATTTGTGGACTCTGAACGGAGAATGAGTGCCCAGTCTTTATTGATCTCACTTACCCATGCATTCGACTTACCCCTAGAATCGTTGTAGCGTTTGAATGGCTATTTGGCCTATACAAAGACTGTAGTTGGTTAAATGATGTACAACTCAGAGCTTTCATCTCCTTTGGCCGAATTTGCACTGGTCGAATATTTGGTTTCAGGAGGTCTGTAACTTGATCCCTACACAACGTGTGTAATAACGATGCCATTTTGGCACCCTTCTTCCACCTCTTCCTACTCACAACAATATTTCCGAGTTGTTGCTCATTTATTTCTGTACTCAGCAGTCACCATAACTTCTACTTGTTCTTGTTTATTTATTTGTTTATTATATTTGGGACGTAAGTGATGTAGTGGCAAGTGCGCACTATCGCACAAGCATGGTAACGGGTTGAAATCCTGGATCGTCTTGGTCATCCGAGCTTTCCATCCCTCCGGGGTCGTTTAATTGGTAGCAGGCTCGTCTGGGAGGATAAAAGTACCGACTTGTACATCGAATGGCCCCACAACTCATGTGTAGACCACATCGCATTCAAAACACCACTACGATTCTGAGTGGAAGTCGAACGCATGGGCGTATCCCTCAGACGGGATTGATTCTGTCCCAAAACTCGATTCTTTCATCCTTTATTTATTATATTTAACCAACTTTTTTTAATACTTATTCGTTGACGTTTTTCATTACTAAAAACCGGCCGAATTCATTTCTATCTGATATTTATTTATTTATTTATTTAATATTCCCAATCTTTTCAAACATATACATTAAATAAATATACAAACACATACATAAATATTGAATATTGAAAAAAATCGGAATAGCCTTTTATGATGTAGAATATTTTTGAAGTTTTCACTTCACGTGCGAGTATAAGAGCGTCTCCTCTCTCGACTGATTAACTCCACCAGCCAGATAGCTACGCAGTCATTAACGATTACGGATAAATTATGCATCAGCTTATCTAATAGGTAAGCAGGTGCATAATTAAAGTAGTAGAAAGTAATTAGCAAAAGTAATACCCCATAAGGATCGATTAGATTATGATGCCGAGGCGGCTGGCTCTTCTAATCCCGCGGTCGACCGCGGAGATCTTTGTGATAGTTTAGATGTCAGTTTATACTTACGCTGCTGTGTAGCCGAATCATCTATGCTTTTCTCAATAATCGCTTTTCCTTCTCATACACCGCTCTAATTAAAAGCGTAGATAGTTCCAATGATAAATGCAAATCGCCTTGTCGGCCCAAATCGGTCAAAGCCCTTTGAAGACCCGTAGGGAATTGGTGGGGGATCATTTGAGCAAGCGTTCCTCTTCGGTCCTATTATGTAACACAAGGACGATGTGGTATAGGGGCAAATGGGCGCACTATACCACACGCATCGTCATGGGTTCAGATCCCAGATTGATGTCTGCCTAGGCCAACCAAGTTTTCTATACCTCCAGGGTTGGTCCCTTGGTACCAGACCCTGGTCCGGGAGTATAAAAGCAGTGACTTCTTCATCGGCTGGCTGGTTACCGTAAATCATTGTATAGGCCCACATGCATTCAATACGCCACTACGGTTTTGAATGGAAGTCGAATGCGGGGCACATTCCTCAGACAGAACTGATCAACACCAATGACTTTGTTCTTATCCTTTATTATGTAACTTAGTAGAGGTGGAAAGCTCGGTGCTTTTGAGCAGGACTTGAACATGCAGTCGGGGCTGGTTGTTGCTTGACTGGTTACTCGTCTAGCTAATACATTTCACTTAATTTCGTGATTATCTGGAAAGTAGTCATTGTAAAGCTTGGGAAAAAACAGTTCGTTGGTGTAAAGGTCTACAATCAATTTAAGATGGAATAAACAAAAATGAAATTGAATTGTGCTATAAAAAATACGCCGGGCTGATATTGCTGATTTTTATTAGTTTTGTTCGTTTCTTTTTGAATTTTTAGTACTTCTTGTATTTTTACTCGAGTCAGTTTAACCTTCTGCTACTGTCCTGCATTGTTTAATTAGTGATGCATTTGATAAATAAATAGACAGATAGTTGAATACATATAAAACAATAAATAAATAAATAGGGAGACAGGTGAATAAATAAATAAATATATAATGAGCCTAATAAATATCAGCTGTCACTCATGCTAGCTTTCATCCGTGTTACTGAAAGAAAAACGACTGCTTCTGGCATGAACTGTGCGCATTTGTCCACTGGCAGTCGGATAAGATGGGAGACGGGCGTTAGGAACGATTTTGGGTAATCGATTCGCCGCACACGGCTGTCGCGNACCCCTCATTCGCCGTTATTACAGCTCTAGCGCTCTTCATACAGCTCAATCAATATGTGATCATTATTTTATGCATAATTCTACTATTAGTACTTTTGTTCTTGTATTTCTTACCTACTGCTGCATCCCGCTACATTCCTTCGCGCGCGACGCCCCTCTCATCGCGACGCGACCATTTCGTTCCTAGCGCACCACACCCGGATAAGATCAGTGGCAAGTAGTATCGCAGCGTATCAGCACTGTCCCAGGATCGATTTCTGCCTAAGGCAAGCTAATTCCCTTGGGGACAATTCCAAGTTGAATGTGGCAAAAACTAGTGTTTACTGAACGCGTGAGCTTCCAGTTCCTCCTTCAGCCACATACCCCCTCCCTCCTAAACACTCTTCCGCCTTCCACCTCCACCTCACCCTCTGCCTTCAGTACCTAATTCATATAGAAGCGTAGATTAAAAAAAGGCTACATAGTTAATGATTAATTGTGCTTCTGGTTTGCTAGCCTAAATCAGTTGAATTAAGTCATGCTCTGGGTAGTTCCTGAAACGATTACCTAGTCTGGTTCCTATAAAGTTTCTTCGACTTACCGGGGTCCCAATTGGGAAGGAAGCTATGGCCCATTTTGTTATCAGGTTCCAGCCATATAGAGCCTGCCATAAAAAGCAATTGAATTGAATCAGGACACTAACGACCTGAAACTCATGCCTCATGCCACAACCCTGAATAGCGATTATCTCCTGAAACCGTGGGATATCCCCAAGCGATCATCGACGACCCAACTTACCTCCGTCGGCCATCGCGCGTCAACCTCCGTTCTCGACTGATTTCAAACAGGCGATTACTACTTCGTCTATATATATATGCCTATTCCAGACCTGACTCATTCTTCACACTAAGCACTTTCTACGGCTTTCAGACTGCTTCTTCTACTCATTCCCAGGTAACTACTAGTCAGCTTTCAGTACTTGAGTATTTCTAAGTAATCGTAGCGATCCATTGTCTTTGCAGATCCTATGGATTTCATGGAATATATGCCGGAATTCCCATTCCTCGAATTGCCGAGTGAAATTCAATTAGAAGTTCTCAGAAAAGTGAGTTTCTCACTGGTTTCTCACCTATTTTCATGTAATTTTCAATTTTTACTCGAAATTTTTGTTTTTCAGCTTTCCGTTCCCGATATTTGTGCATGTCGCTGTGTATCCGTACAGATGTATGCGATGATTGAAAATAATCGAATGACTTTGGCAAGGAGGAAAGTGAAATCCGTCTCGATTGCCCCGGTGAGAGAATAGACGAATAACAACGACAGGGTTCAGGCCGGTTACTAGCTATGTTACTATAAAATTCCTATACGAAGTTTGAAAATTCAGATTTTTTTATATGTCTTTTGTATTAATCGCGATTTTTTTTTTGGAAAATCCTTTATAAGAATGGGAGATTGTAAGAATCTAAGGTTTTCCTGAACTTTGGGTGTACAAAATAGGGTTAAGCGGTATTCAGAAAGTGAGAAAGGGTTTTGTTGATTAAGTAGTTGCTCGGATTTAATAAGGATTATATGTTCTTCCCAGCAATTTTGCGTATCTTTCACCCTCATTTCCATTGCCTTCACCGCCTCGCTCCTCTGTAGACGACTTTGGGAATGATGATTAGATAAGAGAGGTGAAGAAAAGAAGAGTGAAGCAAAGGTTGTATTCCGGGCCAAGTTTCTGGAGGTTATATTGGAGAGCTGATTTTCCAAAACGTTCTGCGTGAACTAGTCTGGAGGGAGCTATATGTCAAGAGTATAAACCTCGGTGTTTGAATTTCGATTCTTCCGCATACTTGCTAATATCTATTTTTAGTAGTAACAATTATTGTTATATTGAAATTTTGTGTAACTGATAAGATAAGATGATAAGAGTCCTTTCTTGATACTGTATTACTCACATTATTCTCTAAGCCCAGTTTCTTTTTATTTTCCAACGACTTCCCTCATAAGTGCCTCGTGGGGTCCTCTGGCTATCCAGTATCCTTGAATTTTGTGTGATAATTTGAAAAATAGGTGTTTTTCTCGGGATATCTATGCATGTTGCAACGTCAAAATACGTTTGACTTCATTTTTTCTTCGAATTACACTTCCTTCTCCATGAATTGTTGTAGAATTAGCTGCAGCCCTCAGGGTCCAGATACCTGACAGAAGCACCCTTCCATTTTGGACTCTCTCGCAGTTGTTTGAACTTTTCGACTGAATCTCGTAGATTTTCTGAAAAGATATCCTTCTCTGGAAAACTTCTATGCAAAACCAAGGCCGTTTTCTGCACGACTGCATCAATTGCTGACCATCGCTCCAGAACCGTCGAGAAAATGCTTGCAGAATTGGTCCCAACTGGTTCCAAAGCGGAAGAACATACCACCAGCCGAATGTCTCAACTATGATGAATTCGAATTCGCTCGACTTTTCCGTGCTTCTGATATTGAAATGCTGCACATTGTAAATGTGAGTTTTGCATTGCTCTATGAGAACGTTTATCTCCCATTTTGCTCCTTTTTTGTTGCCATCCTTAACTAAATGGCGAGCTAGAGCAAATGGCACAGTAGGAGGCCCAGTAGGAATAGGTTCTCTTGGGTACTACTGTTGGAAAGAAGAAACATGAGGAAGTTGAGCTAATGGCACCACATGGACTGCAGACAGCTGCCACACGCAACTCCACGAATGGATAGGGTTTTAGTGTCGGGTGGGGCCATGGGATTGGATCTGACGTGTGTATTATGATTAAACATTCATGCATGTCATATGCAGTAGTTATGAATTAGTAATCGAGTCAAACAGCCAGGGCTTTTTGAATGAGCGTGTAAGCGGTTTTCTGAGTGAGTTAATGAGCTTGTAAGGGACTTTGCAGGATCGCCTTAATTGATGGATTTTTTTAATAGCGAATAGTAAAGATAACCAAGGTCTGGATGATTCGGGTGGGCAGAGTTTTCCGATGCAATTTCGTCTGAATTCAATTGAAACTATTCAGAAACTCCGCATTGGTAGATTTTATCATTGTCTTCTCATTTCCTTAATGATCAATTGATCGAATCACAACTTATCAGTGATTGTTATCGCAAATTATCACATCATATCACGATGTCACTGATTTCTGGGGGTCTCAATAGAATACTGATGAGTCAGTGATCCGTATTCTAATGATCTCAATGAGTTAACTTTGATGGAGGTATGTACCCAAAACTGTGCCCTTAGAAATTGTTCGAAATTGTTTCCGAAAAGAAGGAATAAATAAACAAATATAAACAACTAATATTTGGCAACATGAATTCTCTTCCCGTTCACTTTTTTTTGTTAAGCTTTTTGGGAAAAACCACTTTCTCACTTAGTTGTTCTCTGAATTAGAAAAACAGCAGAACGGGTTCCATACCATTCAGCAGAGCGGGTTCCATCCAACCATACCAGTGATGGGACCGGGAGGTTTCCGAAAAATTCAAAGGTTCCCCCACATGCTGATTCAAAGTTGAAGTAGCCTATTCAAAGGTTCGAATAAAAACCACTCAGCGGCTGGAGGAATTATTGGGTTGTAACATAAGTTCGTAGAGTTTTGCGTTAAAGTTATTTTACAACGATTTATTTTGTTTTTTAGCAAAGTGTATACATCCATTTGAAAGAGCTCTTTCTCCTCTACAAAACTGTTTTATTCGTTTTTAGGATAATTAAATTGTTCGTCTTTTTTCGGGCTCAGAAAAGGAATATCCAGGAAGAAAAAATTAGCATTTTCGACATCTGCTTTTCTTTGCTTCTCGTCGAGGTCAAAAAAGCAGCCGAAACCGCTAGGGACATATGCAGTGTGTACGGGGAAGGTGTCTTAGGTGTGTCTACTGAAAGGTGTGGGTGGCCCCAGAGAAGGCGGCAAAGCCGAGAGCCAAGCAAGATCTTCACCCAAAAAAAGGTCATGATCTGCGTTTGGTGGGACTGGGTAGGCATTGTGCACTGGGAAACTGCTCGAACGAAACGCCGCTGTTAACAAGGAGGTCTACATCACCGAGCTTAACAGTGTAAATGAGGCTATTCGGCTGAAAAGACCTTATAGAGGTGGTCAAGTCATCTTGCTCCACGACAACACCAGGCCCCATATTGCTCAAGTCGTCAAAACAGCACTCCAA